GATCACAAATGGAAGGCAGACAGTTCAAGTCTAAGAGTCTTCTCCTGCCTTGAAATAAAAACTGCTACCTTTATGGTGAACTGTGCATACCCGTGCATGCCAAGCTCTTTCCCTGCCTCGTAGTTTCAAGCACTGACTGACTACTTTTCCAACACAGTATTCAGAGTAATCACAAATGGCTCTGCAGTCTCTAATCACACGCAGTCAGATCCGGTTTCAGTCTGTCTGCCAGATGCTCTTAGGATGAAGTTTGGCATCTTTGCCTAGATAGCAAAATTTAGGTTTGGTCACAGAGTTCAGGTGCAAGGTACACCTATAACAAAGACAGAAGGCAGCAGCTGTCCAAAGGGGAAGGAGAGGGCAAAGGTCAGCACAGGAGAATTCCCAGAACCAGGAGAGCAAAAGGACACAACCGGGAAAATATCAGGAACATTTTGCTTTGTGCATCTCTGCAACTAGAGCCAGCCCTAGTGGATCAGGAGGTCTTGGCCTGCAAGGCGGAGCATGCCCTGGCCATAGTAGCTAAGCTGTCACTTGCTGGTGCAGCAACAGCAACTTCTGTAGAACAACTCCACAATCTTTCAGCATAGGCAACAAAAAAAGAGAATGAATAGGGTACTTGGCTGGATTTAAGAATTTACAGCTGTCCTAGGCTTGAGTTTGTTGCAATTAAAACACCTGCCTGAATTGTAACACAGCCGGATAAGTTGCCTCTTAGAACACCAGCATCCCCCGAGTGCTGGTTCAAACCCACAACGCTCCCTTTACAACCTAGCTTTCTGCTAGTGCTCCTCAAAGAGGAAGCTGTCTAAGGACTTGAGCTCTCGCCACCTACGTGAGAGACCCGGACAGAGTTCCAGGTCCCTAGTCTTGGGCGGATTGAAGTCTTAACAGGTGGAACCATTTAAGACTCAACCAGCAGAGTAAAGATCTCTCTCTCTCTCTCTCTCTCTCTCTGACACTCTGCCTTTCAAGGAAATGAATGGATGTGTGTGCATGTCTCTGAACATAAAATGTAATAAAATAAAACACCTGTCCTAGAGAAGGTTATTGCCCAACGGTCACAAGGACCAGTACAAAGTGGCTTCAGGAAAGCAGCAGGGCCTGACAAACTGTAGCAGGGCCCCTCTCAAAGATGCAGAGAGGAAATACAGAAACCAGAGATGGGAATGGAGAACTGGAAGCAGGACATCACCCCTGATTCCCTCCCCAGCCTTCCTCCTGTCTTATCTCCTAGTTCCATTGCTTTCTGGAGACGGGATTTATCTGTTTCTCCACGACTGTCTCCTGAAGCAAGATAGTTGAGTAAAATCCACACAACCATCTCCCAGGGTGGCATGCACACTCCCGGGGGGGGGGGGGGGGGGGGGGGGAATTGTGTCTGCTCAGGAACTGAGAAGTTCAGAGGCTGCCTGAAAGCTCAAGCATTTAGTAAGTGAGGATGATAAAAGAAAGGGCGCCCCCTCCCCCACAACTTCATTTTGTCCAGCTGCCTAGGGCCAGCTTCTCTGAGAGAACCTGGAAGAGGCTTAGCTTATCTCTGCGATTACAACTGGAGAATTTTATCTAAGCCAGACACTGTTGATACATTATCAGTGAGATTTCATTCACTGTGCCACAGGAGGCCACCTATTAAGAAGGAGGAGCCAAGTACAACTCCACAGTCACAATACAAGGTCAATTACACACCTGAGCACAATCTTAGGTTTTTGCTACCATGTCCCCAGGCTTTCTGGGGACCCAGCAGTCAGCATGTTTAGTGTTAAGAGCGAAGCAATTTTCCTGTTTGCCTAAACAGAACTGGAGTAATGCAATCACACTACTTCAGCCAGCCGTATAATCCACACCCAAGGTGAATCAAACGCAGTGTGCGCACCCCTAGTGGGTGGAAGATTACCTGTTACAACAGCCCCCAAGTTACTCTCTTTTAAGAAAGCCACTACTGAAGCTGGTAAGCAACACTCAAAGCCTGAAACTTCCTGTATTTAATTTCCTGAGCAGTTAATGCCACCATTTTTGGCCTGCTCTCATTAAAAAAAAAAAAAAAAAAAAAGGCAATCTGGCAGCCAGAGCTCTGGTGCCCACCCCACCTGGGTACCAGCTTCCGTACCCAGACCCCTGGGACCCACACAGGTTACTGTGTCTGTCCCCCTAGCCTCACTGCAAACAGACTAGAACATTGCCTCCGTGATGATGTGCAGTATTTGTTCATTAGGATTCTTACTCCAGAGACAAATTCCACTGAAATTCACAAAAACCTCTTCAAGGTTTTGCTTTTGTTTTTGTTTTGGGTGTTTTCTTGCCTCCTCCCACCCTCAGCATCTCTGAAATACATGTCTCTGAGACAGAACAGAAACTTGCAAATGCATGAATCTTAAGTTTCTCTAGGGTGTTTGCAAGTTACGCTTTTGCTGGATGCTATGTAATGCGACATTTTCTCTGCTGCACCAAAGGACCTGAGTTAATGGCCCAAGAAGCCAATGAAGACTGTTCAAGAAAATGAGTTTGGATAACATGAGAAAAGTAAGGGAGGTGCCTCCTGGGGGAGCTAAGAAATCATGAGCACCCCTCAGTTGTAAAATCTGTTTGCATGTGAGGCCCAGGCTAAGGTTTTTTTTTTTTTTACTTTGAAATTATAGATAATTTTTGAAAAAAAATATCTCACAGAGGAAGGGCGACTATCTCATATGCAAGTGAAAATCAGAAACTAACAGCATGCACAAGTTTAAAAAATTAGTCACCGGTTACCATGGCAATGCAAATATTACTTAACAACTCGCTAGGCTGTAGCTCACCAAGAGGATGCTAAACGCATTATTTTAAGAATGGAAAAAGTTTGCTAATTTGAGGGATACTTGTAAGAAGCAAGATGAACCTTGGCAACAGATGGAGGGCAGCCTAGGTCCCCCTAGGTCCGATCCTGCAGCACCCAGAGTCCCAGGCCCCTCCCGCCCATGGGTCTCACACGCACAAGCAGCTGTGCCCAGGAACAGCTGTGAGAGGAAGAGCGATGACATTCTATTTACAAACAAAGGGCTATGGTCAGGAAGAGTGTTCCTCTGTGCCTAAATTCCTCATAAAAGAATAATCCCTACGCCGGTCCACAGGCTGATTCAGGTGGCCCAACGCCTTTAAACTCAACAGAAACAAGCAAAACAAGATTTCCCAGGAATTTTCGCCCTTCTCTTCAGTAGCTGGAATTTTCTGAGTAGATGTGAATTTTAATTAGGAAAAAATCATATGCATTATAAATGTTATCAATTTTTAAAGTAGACTAAGAAACAGGCCCTGGAGCAGTATCTCTATGAGTACCTCCTGGGTATTCCACACCAGAATTTCCTGGGGTGCTCCTTCAAATGCTTTTTAGCCCAGACCACATGCAAAGCACATTTCATCTGGGTCTGTGGGTTGGAATCTAACCTTGCACATTTTCCAGAGGTTCTCTGAGCGTTCTTTACCTTCTCTAAACACTGAGACCCTCATGGTTAGTCATCGCCAATAATCCGAAGCCTTCAGACAAAGATAGCAGAGTGAGGGGCAGCTACGGAGGTCACAAGCAAATGCTGCTTAAAGGCAGGGCTATGACTTGGTGGCTCTTCGATGCAAACCAGGGTATCGCGCAATACAATCAACATGTATGATACATGAATCAAATACTTCACATGCAATTATTTCTGACACATACTCTGACCTAATGCAATCTATTGCATTTCAATTTCTAATGGTCGCCTGACCAACTAAATTGGGTTCATTACTCACAAGTGGAGATGAACAGAACCATCATGACATATCTAACTGCTAATATTGACCTTCTGTTTATTTATACCCTCTTCTCTTCACCAAAAATATCATGGAAGTAATATAGGTACAGATTAAAATAAATAAAAGATACTAAGAAAATGAAGACAGGAAATTAAATGTTTGTGGACTGAACCAAAGGGAAAGTTAACAATGGAAATGCCTAGCCAGGAAATCTAATCCACTGGTTACCTCGCAGCTTTCTGGCAATCAGTGTGAAGAGGAAAATATGATCAGTTATAAAATTCCCAGCGCCCACTTGAAAGAACAAAGCAACTAGTGAGAAGCATTTCCATGCCTCTGGCCAACACACTTCCTGCCATGCTGCAATCTTCAGGGTAGAGTGAGTGAGTCTCACACGAAGTAGGGCCCCTGTTATCACCTCCACCTTCTATCACCTCCATCTCCTATCACCATGGTTTTCATGGGTGAAATTACACTCATTCAAGGGACTACAGATTGGGACAAACAGCAGCTGCTGGACAATGGGGCCCCATGGTCACCTGACTAACCTCTCAGAGCATTATGTACTCCCTTCCGTTCCAGCACTGGCTTCCCTGCTGTCACCACAGCTGCTCTCTTGGCTCCTTCCCTCCCTGCCAACCCCACAAGGTTACATTTCCAGGAAGACAAGATTGGTTCCTTTGTATTTCAGTGAGCGTTCCTGAAAGTGGAAGTGAATGCTAAAACACTCTAGGGCCATTGTGGTCTTCATCCTTTTTTCTCCAAGCAAGTTAAATTCACCGTGAAGAAATGGAGGATTCCCAAGAGCCAGGGAAAACACAGTGTCTGCACAGGCCACATGACAGAAGGTGTCTGGCCACTGTTTTAAGTACTGAGGCCCAAGTGACAGGTTGCTCTGGGAGAACAATCTGAGAACAGAGAACTAAACTAAGTCACTAAGGGTCCACTGAATTCCTCAAGTACTCAATCAGAAAGACAAGGAATTAATGTATTCACTAGTGGAAGGTAAAACATTTGTAAATAGGACTTGGAAACGTAGTTGAGCTTCACTCCTGAATGGGCCAAGTATTGCCTTGCTGATGCTAAAAGAGTGGTTGTTTGCTTTATACAGACCCTGTCTGCATGGATGGCAGAGGTGGAAAATTTAGAGCAGCGTGTCTAGTCTAGCCCTGAATACCAGTTGTGATTTACTCCCCTTAAATATAAGTTTCCCAGATCAAATAACGAGGTTGACCTACCTTTTCAGTAATATAGAAGTTTGAACTATCGGCATGTTGCAGGGCAAAATACTCATGGTTGGCAAGAGACCACCTGAAACATACAAGTATAAACTATCAGAGAAACGAAAGTGGTCATTTTCATAGGATAAGATGAATTAAAAATGTTAGGAGTGGATACCTGCCAATATGAACATACACCATAAGGCAGTTCCTAACAAAATGACTCTCGCCTACCTTCTACTAGCCTGAGACCAATCATTTCCTGAGCATCTGTCTAAGCCTTGGCTCGGGTCTACTGCTCACTTGCAAGCATTTCATCATCAAAGCTAAGGGTGGGGATTTAAACACAGATTGCTATTTTCCACTTTATTTTGAAGGATTGAAACAGAGAGAAGGGAAAAAAAAAAGCAGTGGATGCAATTTGAACTGGTGATTATTTGGCACATTGCAACTGTTTGGGTATTCAGCTTTTCTCAGTCAGGACACCAGATGCAGATTGGAACTCTCCAGTGAAATCTTCTAGGTCCCATGTAGATTCAAGGTAATACTCCATTCATGCTTCTGCTTTAGAAGCTGAAAACTGTCCCGTGACTTCCACATGAGCTCTTCCTTTGGATTGTGTACAGTAGCCAAAGAGAAGTAGGAAAGCCACATGGGTGCAAAACCTCAGGCGGCAGCACAGCTGCCCAGTGACTCAAATCCTCCATCTTTATGGAGACCTGAGTAGTCCCCCTCATAATATACCAGATGGAGTTTGTATTTAACAGCAGAAATCTGTAGCCTGCACCCTGCTGGGTAGGACAAAAGGAAAGAAACTTGCCAAACCAGATCAAACTAACCTGTCTATAGGCACTTAAAAGTCATTTTCCACTTTCTGTTCTTTAAAGAACTATAGCAAATTCTAGGTAGAAATGGGTGCATAACTTCTACATGGTGATTGTTCCTGATACTGGGCAGGACAAACGATGACTTGGACTGTTTACTGTTCCCCCAGGAATTACTGTATTAGCCAGGGACTTTATAGACTAGAGTCCTTGAGGTGAATATGGAACTACACTTACCCGTCACAGACTTCCTTTATTATGGCAGACAGTGGCTTTTTCTGCAAAATAACAAAAAAAAAAAGGGAAACATTTTGTTAGTTTCATTTCACCATTTTAAATTAAACAAAAAAAGAAGAAGCCTGGAAAAAAAAATCGAAGCAAGAATTCACATTCGCTATTCTTGGTGGTTGCCAATGAACCTTTTATTTTTCTCAAGGTAGCAATCTCCCAGCCATCACCATCACATTTATTAATGATTGATTACCCTTTGGGAGCCTTTTTCTTGTATCATATTCAATTCCACTGCATTAAAATCAGGATGTTCAAACATCTCACAGGCAATGGATGCCCCAAGGTCAAGTCACAACTCAAGTTCCTCCAATAATACATGAATCAGGGAAGCAGCAGCTTAACTTTTATGCAAACAAGCTTCGATTCATGTTTTTACCAGAACGTGCAGCAAATGGAATATGAGGCCTTGCAAAACTGCTCCAACAAATTGCACAGAATTCTTTTCCCAAACATAGCCCCGGGTAAATGCCAGTCATGAAGCAGCTTGGCCCAGACACACGCGAGCAATGTGACCGTGACAGCATGTGCCGTGGTGTCAACTGGCGGCTGACTACAGCTGCACTCTGGCACTGCACAGCCACAGTTGTGCGCTGCCTGTCCCTCCAGCTAGAAGGAATGTAGTGAAGGGACACCCCTGCTCCCCAAGAGATGTCGAAATTCCTTCCGCTTAGGATGCAAACAGATTCTGCCTGTCTCCTAGGGTAGGGAACAATGTGTCCAGCAAAACAACTAATCACAAAAACAAATGGAAAAGAGAGGATGAGAAATCAGAGAGGTAAAATGAACACATGGCACCAATTTTCATACACAGCCAACAGAAAAGCCATAGATAATTATCAACAGGGTCTACCGCTACCCTTCTGAAAGGCACTGCGTGTGCTGCTGGCTAGAAAGGGCTCTAGAACAAAGCAGGCTGAATCTACAGGGTGACCTACACTCACTGTGCTAGTTCATCTGTAACATGGGGAGAGGGCTTATGTATCTCCAAGGCTGTGACAAAAATTAAAATGTCATAAATTAAATTAGAATTTTTTAAAAAACAAGACTCCTAAAAGGCTGGGACTGCTAGCCCCTCTCACTTTACTAAAAGAGACCCAACCCCCTCCCAGGAACCTTGCTGTAAGACAGTGTACCATCTGCCCGCTTTCTTGGGACCTCTGACTACTGTGCACACACTCCCCTCCAAGGGTCTCTTTGGGTCTGCTCAAGGCTCCAGTTCCTCCAATGAACTCCCATCCACTGTAGCCTCGGGCTCCGGGCTGTGTTCACTATCAAAAGAGTTCAACAAAAATTTGTCTCTGCCTACAGAAGCAGACCCAGAATTGCTGGGGGGTAATCTTGACAGCTGGATACACTGTGCTTTAGAATAAGATTAAAAAGGGTGATATGAGGTGGGGGCAGAAGGGGGTGATTTTGAATTAGTGTTTAAGTCACTCCTTGGGATACGCACAGACCATATATCAAAGTGCTTGAGTTCAAGCTCCACTTCCACTAATCCCAGTTCAGCAAATGCACATCAAGAGATGAAATGCTGCATCAAGTACTTGGGCCCCTCTGCCCACAAAGGAGATACAGATGGAGTACTGGGCTCCTGGCTTCAGCCTGGCCCAACCCTGGCATTATGGACCTTAGGTGCATAAACCAGCAGATGGTTCTGCTTGTCAAATAAAATGAAAATAAATTTTAAAAGTATACAAACAGGGCCCAGTGGCATGGCCTAATGGCTAAAGTCCTCGCCTTGGACGTGCCAGGATCCCATATTGGCGCCGGTTCTAATCCCGGCAGCTCCACTTCCCATCCAGCTTCCTGCTTGTGGCCTGGGAAAGAAGTCGAGGACAGCTCAAAGCTTTGGGGCCCTGCACCTGTGTGGGATATCCGGAAGAGGTTCCTGGATCCTGGCTTCAGATCGGCATAGCATCAGTTGTTGCACTCACTTGGGGAGTGAATCATCAGATGGAGGATCTTCCTCTCTGTCTCTCCTCCTCTCTGTATATCTGACTTTCCAAAAAATAATTAAATAAATCCTAAAAAAAAAAAAGTACACAAACAGCAATTGGGTTCCACAATGATGTGTGTAAGAACCTATTCATTGTTGATGGGGTAGCTGCTGAGCTAAGAGGTAAATGTGTTCACAAAGTCCAATGACAAAAAAAAGGACTTTAAAAATGAAACTTGTCCAGTAAGATGAAGATTTTGCATTTCCACCTGCCAGAGATTCCTTACTGTTACGAGATGAGGCGCCTCTCAGTCTCTTAGGACCAGACCTTACTGCTTTCACCCTCAAAACTGAAATACAGCAACGGGCGTTGCACCACAGTGAACCTTCCATTTAGCATACCCACATCCCACACCGAAGCACCTAATCTGATTCCCATCTACTCCATACCCAGTTTATTGCGAATGCAACCCTGGAAGGCAGCAGGTGATGACCTAAGCACTTTGGTCCCTGTCAACATATAGGAGAGCTGGCAGGAAGTTCCAGGCCACTGGCTTTGACCTGGCTGTTTTGAGTATTCAGGAGTAAACCAGTAGATGGAAACTAGCTAACTAGCTAAGTAACTAATTGTGTGTGTTGCTCTTCCTTTCAAACGAACAATTTAAAACATAAACAACAGGGTCAGAGTTCTATTTTAAATTACAAGGAAATAACACATCAAGCAGGGTTGCTCTTGAGGTAGGTGAAGGTAGGCAACTCTTTCCAAAGTCAGACTTAGCTTCTAGCTCTTGGAGGAATAAACTGTGAATTTAATTCAGGTCTGATTCATAGGTTCAGGATCAACTTTTAAAAGAAATCTCTGGGGTACTATTATACCTAGAATATTCTGATGTTGGATATATGAAAGGAATAAAGACCATGGAAATACAAAGCTTAGAAATTTAATAGAGAAAGATTAAAGAAAAATGAAACCATGGAGGGAAAGGAATCATGGTTAACTGAACATTCATAATGTAGCCTTGCCAATTAAAGGGAATGTTATGTAAGGACAGGGATGGGCCCACTGCCTACATCCTGGCCTTTCTGTTTCATTTCAAAGTTAGCCACCACCAGCAACACCTAACTTCAAATGCCTTTCCACAGCTCTCACCTTCCTCTTCCCATCTGAATTCACTACTTCTTCTCTCTGAAGCTCCCCTGCCAAAGCTACTGTACATACTGCAAGATGCACCGTTCATGGGAAATGGAATGAAAATGGAAGCTTGTTCTGCAGCAAACAATTCTGAAATCCATGCAGATGTCTTCAGAAAATTCATGGAAATACATATTGTTTTACAAAATGACAAATGTTTTCAAATGGTGTTTTGCACCAAAATAATTACCTTTTAATTCTACTTTCCATTAATTTTCTACAGTATCATCATATTTCCCTCATTCTCCTCTTTCAATTCTAGTTTCCATTAGCTTTTGTCTTGGTTTTGGTTTTTTGGGGTTCTTTTTTTTTTAAAAAAGATATATTTATTTTTATTGGAAAGGCGGATATACAGATAAGAGGAGAAACAGAGAGAAAGATCTTTCGTTCGATGATTCACTCCCCAAGCGGCTGCAACAGCTGGAGCTGAGCCAATCCGAAGCCAGGAGCCTGGAGCCTGGAGGCTCTTCTAGGTCTCTCACATGGGTACAGGGTCCCAAGGCTTTGGGCTTTCCTCAACTGCTTTCCATTAGCTTTTCAAAGTATGATCAAGTTTCTTCCATCCTCCTCCACTTGTAACCAATTCAATAAAGTCCAAAAAGTCCTTGGTAGTTCCTCTTTGACCTTCAGCCTCTTAACCCCAAGTATCTGTTCTTTTCTTCTCTGACTTTACTCATCAGTCACTTCCCCATAAATCTCATTCACTTCAACTGTCCTAAGTTGATAGGTCTGGTCTCAAGCACTCTTGCAAACATGACTGTTAGATGTCACATTCTTCCTCTCCTTCAGGCAAGTTATGATATATGTAAACAAAGTGACCCCTCACCAATCACCTGCCGCTCAGCCTGCCCTAACAGTAGCATGTCCCTCTCCAATCCTCCTCACTCCACTCTACCCCAAGGACTTCTGTGTGCTCATTTACCTAGTAATGCCTTTTTGGGGGTGGGAGAGGGGCTACCTAGTAATACCTAGTAATAATTCACCATAATGAAGTAATTCATTTATTAATTCTTTTTTTTTTAAAGATTTATTTTTATTATTTTTTATTGGAAAGGCGGATATACAGAGAGGAGAGACAGAGAGGAAGATCTTCCATCCGATGATTCATTCCCCAAGTGAGCGCAACGGGCCGATACTATGCCGATCCGAAGCCAGGAGCCTCTTCCGGGTCTCCCACACGGGTGCAGGGTCCCAAAGCTTTGGGCCGTCCTCGACTGCTTTCCCAGGCCACAGGCAGGGAGCTGGAAGGGAAGCGGGGCTGCCGGGATTAGAACCGGCGCCCATATGAGATCCCGGGCGTGCAAGGCGAGGACCTTTAACCACTTGCGCCACCGCGCCGGGCCCCATTTATTAATTCTTAAGATAAAATTTCTTACCAAGGTATGTAGCCTTCTCCTCTATGGTGTCCACAGCCTGACTTGTCACCCTCTAACTACTCTTTTGAGCTCCTGGCTCTCTTCATTCCAACCCTTGTCATCACATATATCCTTCTCACATACCCCAGGGTTACCACCACTCTCTAGCCCCAGTACCTTGTGAGTTACTGCCCATCATTAGCAACTACTCATCACAAATATCCTAGCAAATGCTCCACTGATAAATCAACTCAAACTCTCATCTTCCACTGGTTCCTCCCCTCAACTTGCCTACTTTGAACAGTTCTTCCAGGTACCTTCCTAGTGGACCTGCCCTTGCCTTGTCTTTCTTCTTTACCCTGTCCTGAGACAGTGACCTTGATAACATAGCTAAGTCTCATTGTTACTCTTCCACAGCCTTTCTTCTCTTCATCCTTTCCAGATAGGTCCTACCACCTTTAAGTAGTAGTAGTTCAGGTTCTCCTCTGATTCCCACGTCAACCA